ATGAAGCCAGGAGGCTACTTATTCCTGTTCCTCGGCCTGCCTTCTTCTCCCCAAATCCCCTCCAGTCTTCTATGACACCTTCCTAGACCCACAGACCTACCTAGCCTAACAGGACTCCGATCCCTTGCCCTATAATTTACCATACAATAAGTATTTACTGAGTCACCACTATGGAGCAGATACAGTTTTTGGCCGGAAAAGAAAATACCCAAACACTCAAAAAGTTCTTCTACCATTAAAAAAAAGAAAGAAAAAAAAGTCATGGCCATGTAGTGGTATACACCTTTGATCCTAGCACTTAGGAGGCATTTGTCTTGTGCATTCGAGGCTAGCCTGGTCTTTATAGTGAGATCCTGTCTCACAATAATCAACTAATTAATTGGAAAAAATTTAAAAGCCTTAGTTGTTAGTTACCTGCCAGTGAATCAGTCTCTGGTCTCCACAACCCTGATGGCAAGACCACCTATGCTGTCTTCTGGTAAACAGCTTCCAGAAAATGGTCTGCAGTCTGGCATAGTGGCATACAACTTTCCCCAGCATTCAGGAGGCAGAGGCAGGAGGATCTCTGTGAGTTTGAGGCCAGCCTGGTCTATATAGAGAATTCCAGGACAGCCAGGCTACATAGAGAGAGCATGTGACAAAAATAAGTATGTTAAAAAAAAAAAAAAGAGCTGGCCAGTGGCAGTGCACACCTTTAGTCCCAGCACTTGGGAGGCAAAGGCAGGTGGATCTTTGTCAAGGCTAGCCTGGTCTACAAGTTCCAGGAAAGCCAGTGATACATGAAGAAACTCTATCGTGAAAAAACAAAAAAGAAAAAAGAAAAGAAAATGATCTCCATCGGTGTCCTCCTCGACCGGTGTGTCTTTGGTCTTTGCTTTGTGGTTCCTTGGTGTTGAACATTATTTTCTTTCCTTGGCTCATCCAATGTCTTTCTTTAGGTCTTATCTCAGAGTAGGGTCAGAAACCCTTATTATGTTCCTAGGGGATTCAGGGGTATCCTTAGGCGTTGCCTGCAAGTCTGTCCCACTTTCCTGGCCTATGTCTGTCCATTACTGTATCAAGTGCTCAACTGAATGAACAGATGGTAAGTTAGGAATGGCTGACACCCACCCCCCTCTTCCAGCCTTAGCTCACACCCACCTGCCTCATGAGCTCAGGGTTGTTGAGCATGTGGCTGATCTCGGGGTTCCTCTCCATCAACTGTTGCATCTGGGGGTTAGCCATGATCATGTGGCGCATCAGGTCAGGGTTTGACATCATATCCTGGACCAAAGGGTTCTCCATGATTTGTGACAGCATCTCGGGGTTGGACATGAGCTGTCTCTGCATCTGTTGCTGGAGCTCCATGAAGTTGGCAGAACCCAGGCCCAGGCTGCCTAGGCCAAGGATGCCCCCAAAGCCAGCTGTGGGAAGGAGTAGGTCAGAGTCTAGCTCTCAGGCCTGTCTCAGATCTATCAGAGCCTGTGAATTTGGGTCTTCAGGATAGGCCCTAATGACCTCTCACAGGTCCTTCTTGCAATCACTCCCACAGCTCCAGCAAGGAGACCTCTTTAAAGGTAGAGGCCAAGCTGAGCATCATTGAACAGAGAGAAATCAAACAGTCACCCGCCTTTCTCTACTCCCCCCTGAAATCCTGGACACCATCATTAACTGCCCCCCACGCTTGCCCCAGCTTGGCTTAAGCACCACCATCTGGAAGAGTGTCTCCCCCATGGGACTCCTGTTCTTTATCCCTGTGCACCCCACTCCCTGCCCAATAAACACAAGATTATGCCCTCCTCCCTAGAGGCTTACAGAGAATCGATGCAGTAGCACTTGGGGGGCCCTCTGCAGTCACTGGAGTGGGTCCCCCTCCACTGCCAGCATCTGAAGCGGCACTGCCAGAGCCGCAGGGCTGGGCAGGGGCAGCAGGTGAGGCAGGTGTGGTGGAGGGTGCAGAGGCAGAGTCAGGAGTGGATGGGGGAGAACCAGTGGCGGTCACCGGATCTTGAGCCCTGAGGACAAAGAGCGGAGAATCCTTGTTAGCGTGTGTGCGTGCGTGTGTGTGTGCGTGTGTGTGTGTGTGTGTGTGTGTGTGTGTGTGTGTGTGTACACGTGGGAAGCTGGCTGTGTAGCTGCTGCCATCTCAAGCCACCTCCTGAGCAGCCTTGCCCCACCCTTACCCCAAGCTGGCAGGATGCAGGGGACATCCAGGAGAGGGAGATGCTGTAAGTATCACTAGTCTTTAAGGCAATCTGGGAGTGGTCAGTCAGGCTCCCCTAGAGGTAAGGTCTTATCCACCTGCACCAGGCTAGGCCAACAGCTGAGAAAGGATCTGAAGTGAAGCCCCAATTAAGGTCCGTTCCTTTCCTGAACTTACTTCTGAGGGGTCTTGATGACTAGGTGCACGGTGAGCCCATCCTTGATCCCATGCTGGTTCAGCGTGTCTCCATCCTTGAGGATCTTGCCTGCGAAGATCAGGACCAGCTGATCCTGCTGAGCCTTAAACCTCCGGGAGATTTCTTCCTTGAACTGTGGTCAAGAGGCAGAGGTCACTGTGGAGGCTGCCTGCACTCCACTGCCAGGTCTCTACTCTCAACTCTGCCCCTCTAGCTGCAATAAGCAACAGTGAGACAGATCTGCTTTTTCCATTAGTTCCGTGATTCAGCCTCCCAACCCTAGAAAGCCCCAGCTGCTATCTACCTCAGTTCTCCGTTACCACCTGGGCAGCCCTCCCCATCCTAACCCCTTCAACTCGCGTTGCTCTCAGGCTCTCTCTCTTCACTCGAAGTTTCTCTTTATTCCCAGCTTCCTCATAACTATAGCAAATACAGACAGTTGTTGAGTAATCTACTGTGTCAATGACGATCCCCATTTCATTTAAGTATATATTTATTTAGAGACAGGGTCTCTCTGTGTAGCCCTTCCTGTTCTGGAACTCTCTATGTAGACCAGGATAACCTCAAACTCACCCAGCAGAGATCCGCCTGCCTCTGCTGGGGTTGTAACGATAAGGATCAGAGAGGGGTAGGAATTCAGGTCTGTACATCAGTATCTCCATCACAGACACTCTCAATAAGAGCCGTGTTCCAATTCAGCCTTTCTGGAAGAACTTTAAATTCTTTTTTTTTCCCCCGTCGTGACCGGATTTCTCTGTGTAGCTCTGGCTGTCCTGGAACTCACTCTACAGATCCGGCTGGCTTCGAACTCACAGAGATCCGCCAGCCTCTGACTCTCTCATTGCTGGGATTAAAGGCATGTGCCACCACTGCCCGGCCAGGACTGTAAAATCCTTGCATGGGAGCGCAGTAGTGGTATCAAAGGATACTCTGAGGTGAGTTAGACTCTCTAGATTATATCAGCTACTCCAAAACACAACATAACACATACTCTAATTATAAACAGTGCACTTGCTAAGCAAGGATTCCTCTCTTCCAACCAGATGGCCTATCCTAAGCCCCGCCTATGTGCAATTCTGGAGCAGCGTCAAGCAGTGGGGAACACAGGCAATAGTCCCTCGCTCATTCAACATTATTTTGTTGAGCACCTACTGAGCTCAATAAATCCTATAGAGCAGAAAACTGAACAACACAACCGTTTCGATTTGCGAGCAGGAAGGATCAGTACGGAGAGGGAGCACTCCCATCACGCGACTCTCCCGGGGGAGCTTAGCCGCAGCTCACTCGGGCCACACTGTGCCTCGGCGCCTGGAACCTCTACCAGTAACCGTGGCGCACTCTACCCTCAAGCCTAGGACCCTCCGGTCGCCCGCAAGCACGGAGTCTCTTTCTCAAGCTCCCCCACCACGCCCCCAGCCCTGGTAGCGTGGCCAAACCCGTCCCAACCCGCGCCACGCTTGCCGGACTGGCCCAGGCAGGGCGCCCCCTACCCGCCTCGCCGGCCCTCACGCTGCTGGATCCCCTGGGCTCCGCCCCGGCCGGGGGCCCGTCCCGCAGCCAGGCCGTCCCCGAGGTCTCCATCTCAGCGCTGACCCCACGGTGCACTGCTCCCGCCCGTCCTCCTCCCTCCAGCGTCAGCGGTACTACCTCCTTGACCGAGGCTCGATCGCAGATCACGATCTCCTCCTTGTCCTTGGGGGTCTTGACGGTGACCCGAATCTGGGGCCTCGTCTCGGCCCCGCTCGGCTCCGCCATGCCGCCACCCGGCCGCCCGCCAGCCCGTCCGGCTCCTCCTCCCGGCCCGCCCGGCCCGGCTCGACTCCGGCGCCTTCAACTCCCCCTCCCGCCCCTCCCCAAGGCTCCGCCGCCCCCTCCGGACAACCGCAGCCACAGCGCCCCGGGCGGCCTGGGGGGGCACTGCAGCTGGGGCGGCCCCGGGCCGAGCGGGGTCCGCAGCTGGTCCGGACGAGCTTCTCGGTAGCCCAGAGGGCGGCGTAGCGGGCGCCGAGGCTCGGCGATGCCCGCGGCTCCCTCCCGTTCGGGACAAAGGACTTTCTGTGTCGCCGTCTCATCTCCGTTCCCTGGGGTAACTGGGTTTTCTTAGGAGGCGGACTCTCTGCCAGGCCTGGAGTCGTTCCTGGATCTGGACGTCCTTAACACCTCTGCAGGAATAGCTACGGTCGCCCAGGAGCCGTCCCGCGAGGCCACTAAGGACAGTTTCAGAGACCTGGAGTTTGCCTACGTGGCTTCTCTGAGCCTTGGGTGTCAAGACTGCAGTACCTCACAGAATTATGACCATCGTGCAATACTGACTTGAAAAACGGCCATGGATGTGCCTGACAAATACAGATGTTTATTATTATTGAATCGCGGGTTGACTAGCAGACACGAAGGTGCCCTTCTCGTGGAAGGGGTTAAAAGTCCTTCCAACGTCGCCACCGTCCTTGCACTCCCATCTCCTCCTCCCCAGCCTCATGGTCTGACTAGGAAGCTAAACTCTAGTTCCCAGAATTCCTTGAGGGGGTCACGGGAAACTACAATTCCCAGCTCCCCCGCGCGGGGCGGGGATTGGGCCGGGGCCTCAGTGGATAGGCTCGGAGACTACAACTCCCAGGGTGCCTCGTAGGTAGGCGTCTGGGCCACCGGAAGCGGCTGGCGAAGAGCAGCAGGCGGTGGCGGGTTGTCTGGGTGCCGGTCAGGGTTAGGAGACGCAGGCATGCTGCGTCCCAAGGCTTTGACGCAGGTGCTAAGCCAAGCCAACACCGGAGGAGTCCAAAGCACCCTGTGAGTGCACAGCAAGGACCCGAGCGGCGATCGCTGGAGCGGGGCGGCGCGCCGCTGCCTGCAGGAGGGGTAGGGAAGTAGCCCCACGCTGGGAGGAGGCTGGTAGTGTGAGCCGTCGTTTCGGGAACCCTGCGTGAGGGCCCCCCTCGGAAAGGGAAGTCGACGAGTGCTTAGGGCATGTTCCAGGATATATTCAGAGCAGATCGTTGCTTCCTAAAAAGTACCAGTAGCGGGAAATGGAATAGGAACACAGGCGTTTCACTCTTCCTGAGTTTGTCGGTATCCTCCTCCATCCTCGCCAGGCTCCTGAATAACGAAGGATCTTTGCTGGCCTACTCCGGTTATGGCGACACAGATGCCCGGGTCACCGCGGCCATCGCCAGTAACATCTGGGCCGCCTACGACCGGAACGGGAACCAAGCGTTTAATGAAGACAATCTCAAATTTATCCTCATGGACTGCATGGTATGGAGTAAAGTAGGCTGACGTCGAACTTGCAGTGATCATCTTGCCTCTGTCTCCTGAATACTAAGATTGCAGGTGTGCACCACCGCACCTTGCCAAATAAGTAAAACATAGATATTAAAAGGGAAGGAAAAAAAGTGAGAGTAGGGCTCAGATATACGAGAAGGTGACATTTCCTATAAAATTGGAGGAGGATTGGAGAGGGGAAGGGAATCAGTCTTGCAGTGATCTGTTGGGAAAATACTTTTTAACAGTTTGGGACATGGCGGTTTATGCCTCTAGTTCCAGCACTTGAGAGACCGAGGCAGGCAGGTGGATCTCTGCAAATGCTTCTGACAGAACAGCAATTGCAAAGAGCTTGGGTAGAGCGATGCTTGGACAAAGGTCGGTAAGAATGGAGTATCACAGAGTGGGGCAAAGGAGTAGGAGATATGCTAAGGAGGCATGCCTGGTGCCTAGCACCCTGGACAGTGATGGTGTGCAGAACCAGATCAGGTCACCTAAGGGCAAATGCAGCCCTTTACACCCCTGCTAACCACTGCCGACTCCCGCTGGGGGCTGATCTGTGGCTGAAGCTCCAAAGACATTCACAGCAGCCCAGCCATAGTAAGTGTATTTTAAGGAGCAGAGGATGGAGCTCAGTGGTGGAGCTCTTTGGGGTCCTAGATCCATTCCCAGAAACACGATTTTTGTTTTTGAGTCAGAGCCTAATATACACATTGATACACAAACCTAAAACAAGTCTCAGGAAACATCGCTTCTCTTGCTGCAATGTTAAATCTGTCTTTTTTTAAAAAAAAATATTGATCAACCTTCTTAGCTGATCTTCATTTTGAAAAGAGGAGACATGTAAATTGAGTTGTGGGTTTCTGTTAAGTTTTTTTTTTCTTCGATACAAGGTTTCTCTGTGTAGCTTCGGAGCCTGTCCTGGAACTCTGTGGACCAGGCTGGGCTCCAACTCACAGAGATCCGCCTGCTTCTGCCTCCCAAGGGCATGTGCCACCACTGCCCAGCTTTTGTTAAGTTTCTTAGATTTATTTCTGTATGTATGAGGGTTTTTGTTTTTTTGAATAAGTATTATGTATACAGTGTTCTGCCTGCATGTATCCCTGAAGGACAGCAGAGGGCACCAGATCTCATTACAGGTGGTTGTGAGCCACCGTGTGGGTGCTGGGAGTTCACAGGACCTCTGGAAGAGCAGGCAGTGCTCCTAACTAAGTCTTCTGCAAGAGCAACAAACTAATTGGATTATTGTTCCTGGTACCTCACCTGTTGAGACAATTCTTTTTTTTTTTTTTTTTTTTTGATTTTCGAGACAGGGTTTCTCCGCAGCTTTGGAGGCTGTCCTGGAACTAGCTCTTGTAGACCAGGCTGGCCTCGAACTCACAGAGATCCGCCTGCCTCTGCCTCCCAAGTGCTGGGATTAAAGGCGTGCGCCACCAACGCCCGGCTGAGACAATTCTTGGCATTAGAGAAAACCCCAGTCCCAGAGTAACTTGATTAGGAATTGCCTGTGCTGAGGCAGTGTCAGACCCCCATGTATTAAGGGCTGGGCAAAGCTTCCTAGATGAACTTCCTGCTCAGCCAAGCTTGGAAGACAGTATCTCTAGGATCAGGGGAGCCCCGGGGAAGGTAGGAACTAAGGATGCCAAGCAGAGTGCCTCAATGTATCATCCCCACTAGGAGGGCCGCGTGGCCATTACTCGGGTGGCCAACCTTCTGCTATGTATGTATGCCAAGGAGACTGTAGGCTTCGGGATGCTGAAGGCCAAAGTGAGTACATTCCTATGTTACAACCTTCCTGGGCCCAGCCATAGTCCCTCTTCACCGTGCCCACATTACATGTACCCCTTTCTGAGATGGGCTGTGGGTGCGGGCTGGGGGCTGGTTGATGCTCAGTGTGGGGCAGGGAGCCAGTTTGCGATCCCTCTAAGCATAGGCCATGCGTGGACTGACATGTGCTCTCCCCTCCTTGCAGGCCCAAGCCTTGGTGCAATACCTGGAGGAGCCCCTCACCCAAGTAGCAGCATCGTGATAGAGTGATGGAGGCTGGAGTCAGAGAAGGGATGATGGATGGGAGGATCAGGGCCCTGGAAACACCTTACTGGACTGGTTACAGGAAGGTGGGACTTTGGCTTTGTTCCCCTGAATAAATTTCAACTCTTGTCTTGTGTCTGACTGCTTTCTTGGATGGAAGAGCTCAGGCCGTGGGAAGGAGTGGGGTAGATTACTTAAGGGAACCTTATCCTCTACAAAGGTGAGTTCCCTCATCCCTATCACCAAATCTCCCAGCAGTTCTTGGCTGGGCTGCCCAGTGCAGTTGACTTCTCCAGTGCTGGGCCTCAGAATTGATTTTTCTGCGCCTCCTACCCCCAACAGGGTTTCTTTGTGCTGCCTTGGCTTTCCTAGAACTAGCTCTGTAGACCAGGCTGGCCTCATACTCAGAAATCTGCCTGCCTCTGTCTCCTGAATGCTGGGATTAAATTTGTAAGCTACCACATCAGCTTCAAATTTTTAAAAAATGAATATGTACCCGTGTTTGGCCTGGTTTTATGTCTGCACCATGTGCCTGCCTGTAAAAGTCAGAGGAAGGCATCAGCTCTCTCTAGACCCAGACAGTTGTGAGCCACCATGTGGGTGTTGAGAACCAAACCCGGGTCCTCTGCAAGAGCAGCCAGTGCTCTTAACTGCTGAGCCATCCCTCCAGCCCTCAGCAGAATCTTGCCTGCCTATTTGGCAGCACCTTGGAACTGAGCTGGAGGAGCAAAGGCCTATGCTTGTTGGACACACACAATCTCTTTAAGGAGGGGTGCTCTCAACTCCCTTTCCCAAGTTTTCATGAGCCAGACCCTCTCTGCAGCATTTGTTTTGTTTTTAATTTAAAAAAAGTGGGGAAGCCGGGCGTTGGTGGCGCACGCCTTTAGTCCCAGCACTCGGGAGGCAGAGGCAGGCAGATCTCTGTGAGTGGATGCTGGAAATTGAACCTGGGTCCTCTGGAAAAGCAGTCAGTGCTTTTAACTGCTGAGCCATCTCTCCAGCCTGGTAGTAAATATTTTTCCGTGCAGAACTATCTCACTGGTGTAAGTGGAAATTTCTGTCCTGCAAGTTACTTCCCAAATATCAAACACAGAGACTTAATATTACTTGTAAATGCTCGGCCTATAGCTCAAGCTTGTTGCTAGCTAACTCTTACACTTAAATTTACCCATATGTCTTGTGTATGTGTTGCCACGTGACTTGGTCCCTTTTCTCAGTAAGGCATGTCCATCTTGCTCTCAATGCCTCTCCTGGCAACTTCTCTGCCCTTCTTTCTCCCAGCACCCCCCAGGTTACACTTCCTGTCTGGCTACCAGCCAATCAGCATTTTATTTAACAATTTGAGTAGCAAGTCTACAGTACAAGAGGATTATTCCACAGCACACTGGTTCTAAATTTTGTTTTGGTTTTTGAGACAGGGTTGCTCTGTGTAGCCTTGGATGTCCTAGAACTCACTCTGTGGACCAGGCCTCTGCCTCCAGGCTCACCATCCCCCAAGTTTTTTAAATTAGATTCATTGTGTGTGCATTTGGGTCCTGGCACATGTGTAGAGATCAGAGAACAACTTGGAGTAGATTCTTTCTTCCATTATGTGGGTCCTGGGATTTAGCTCAGGTTGCCAGGCTTTGTATCAAGTGCTTTTACTTGCTGGCCCCTGGTTTGGTCTCGGGAGATAGTGTCTCGATATGTGGTTCAGGCTGGTTTTCCGTCCCAGCAATTCCTGGGGGGTTGTAGGGAAAACCCCCCAACTTGGCTCCTCTTTCAAACAAGATGCCTCTCGTGAGGCCCCAAGTCCTGACAAAGAGTTGCAAACCCCATGACCCAGGGTCTTCCTCTTCAGATTCTGCCCGCACAGGCACTGTATCTGGCTCCTGCCGCCCTTCGTTTCTGCCCCCATCTAGGAAGGGAGCAAATCTGTGGAAGGTAAGCAGGAAAGGACCCATCTGGGCAGGCGGAGTCCCAGCTCCACCTGAGTGAGAAATGCTGCCCATCCCTGGCCTGGGGCTGTTAAGGAGCGGCTCGAAGCTGCCTGCTGGTGCGGCTCTGCCTTGCAGAGATGCTGGGCCCAGCTTGCATTTCCTGCCCCTGATGCCTCCAGTGTCTTTAGCCGAAACTTGAGGTGGGAAAGCTGGAGGCCAGTAGGATTCTGCCTTGCCACATGTCTATTTCTCTCAGCCTAGTGGCAGCTCCCCTTCTACAAACCCCAGGAACCCAGCAAGAAGTACTCAGCCTGCAGCCCGCAGCCTCACCCACTGTTAACTCTAGGAGCAGGCTCTCCTATTTGGGGGCGTGTAGGCTGAAAGCAGATACCTAACCTGTTTAACCTGTCTGACGTCATCTTCGCTCCACCCACCTGTGCCCAGGTCCCCAGTCGAGCTGGCTAGCTCTTCCTGTTCCTAGTTTCCGTCCTCTCAGCTCCCACAGAGTAGCCCAACCTGCCAGAGCTGAGCCTCCGGGGCTCTTCCTGGCCTCAGCTCAATCCTCTGTCCCTCACCCCAATGAGGGGGGCAGGTGCAGGTCTCTTAGGAGCTGAGAGCTGAGATCATTTAACCAATAAACAGACTGGGACCTCTGCACCTGCAAGCACCTTCGCTCTGCATGCTGAGCCAAGATGGGGAATGGAAAAGACGAAGATTATAATTTTGTCTTCAAGGGTAAGTTGGGGCTCTGGACAAGGAAAGGGTTTAGAGAGGGTGGGAGGGTCTATTTCCAGAGGAGACAGGGTCTCTTCTTGCTTTTTGATTTACTTGGACCCCACCCCCACCCCCAGGCTCGGCATTCCTGCTAGGAGAGAAAAGGGGCCTAGAGGATAAGCAGGTCTGGTTACAGGGTTAGATGGTCCAGAGTTGTATTCCTTCCTATTGCCAAGTTAGGAGGCTGCCCTGCCCGGTCTCTGATAGACGCTCAAATCCCTGGGAATGTCAGCTAGTGAAGCCCAAGAGATGGAGGTCTGACTCCAGGAAGTACTTGCATTCAGGGCAGAGGGAGAAGAAAGCCAATTTAACAGGAGAAAGTTTGTTTGGGTGGTGGTGGTGCTGCTGGTCGTTAATCCTAGCACTTGGGAGGCAGAGGCAGGTGGGTCTCTGCGAATTCCAGGCCAGCCTGGTCTAGAGTGAGTTCCAGGCCAGCTAGGGCTACACAGAGAAACCCTGTCTTGAAAAAAAAACTGGGTGGGGGGGAGAGGAAGAAAGTCATCTAGTTTTCTAGTCATCTTTCTGAGCAGACACATAGGCAGGAGGGGAAGGAGAGGAGAGGTTGCTGTTGAGCTAGGCAGTTGATACGTAGGGAAGACACTGGGACAATGCAGTGAGTTTGGAGCAGTCTGATGGATTACATGGGACTCCTGGGCTGAAGCCCGTGCAATGGCTTTTTGTACCCATACAGTAGGCCCTGTGTTCACTGGGCTGTCCCTGAAAACGAGCATGTTTCCTTCCTGCTTTTCATCCTCGGCTCCTAGTGTTTGGTCCCTCTGGGTCTCTGGCCCACCTCCTGAAGGCTAGGTGGCCTGGTGGCACTCTCCTTCCCTTTGTGCCACACCCCACAGCCCAACCTCAGCCCCACCCTGGCCCAAGCTGGGGAGCCTGTACGGGCGTTTTCCCAAGGAAGCTGGTAGGGATGTGGCTGTGGTATAGCGACTCCCATTATTGAGTCCCTTGTAGATGCCATTCTCACAGAACCATCTTCACATCCCTGGTGTAGTCTATCATTTTGAGGGGTCCCATGACCTCTCTGCCACATGCCAGTTAGCACAGATGGGGTCCCGGAACTACTATGGAGAAGTGTGGGATAGCCTATGCTGACTATAGGCTACCACGTATAAAGATAAGCAGGAGGAAACAGGATTGGGTAGAGGGTAGTCATCTGCCATGAGAGCTCAGAGGTAGTTGGAGTACAGGGAGCTCTGGGGTAGCCTCAGAACAGCAACCTTGGGTACCACGCTGTCGAGGAGAGGCGTGACACCCCATGTCCACAAGGCTCCTCTCACTCATGCAGGCACACTGAACTGTCACTGCCACTGCCTTCACCCCTTGCAATGAGGGGTTGGGGCAGGCAAATCCTTCCGGAAGGTAGAGGTGGGCAGTGTATGTATGCTTAGTACAGTGTAACAGGCCTGCTAGGGGGTGCCTTCCTTGTCTATAAAGGCGGGAATAGTGAAGGCATTCGCCTCTGGGCGTGGCGAGGCTACATAAAGTTTTTGGATGGTGGCTTATGTGAAGGAAGTCTCTATAAATGTCAGCCACTGGCATCTCCATTTTACAGAGGAGGAAATTAAGGTGTAGAGAGTTAAGTGGTTTGCCAAAAAGAGGTTACAAAGGGGGGCTGGAGAGGTGTCTCAGCAATAAGAGCACTCTTGTTCCCAGCACTCAGATGGTGGTTCATAACCATCCATAACTCCAGTTCCAGAAGATCTGACGCTCTACCAGACATGCATATATACAAGTAAAACACACACAGACATCCATATAAGCAAAATGCTCATACACATAAAATAAATAAATCTTAACATAAAACAATCTAGCCGGGCGGTGGTGGCGCACGCCTTTAATCACAGCACTTGGGAGGCAGAGGCAGGCGGATCTCTGTGAGTTCGAGGCCAGGCTGGACAGACAGCCCCCAAAACAATACAGAGAAACCCTGTCTCGTAAAACCAAACCAAAACAAAAAAAACAAAACAAAAAAAAAACATAAAACAATCTAAAAAGGACACAAGGCCAGTGGGACAGATGCCTGCCTAACTCGACAAGCCTTGCCCTGGGTCTGAGGACGGGGCTGGGGATGGAAGGACGGATGCGGATGCTTCTAACAAAGGAGAGGCAGTGAGGCAGGTGCACACACACACAGGTGTTCTCCTACCCCTTCCTCTCACCCACAGCAGTGTCTCCTGCATGCTGCGTCCCTGTCTCCCATGTAAACACACACACACCCAAGTCCCTCTTCCTCACGCTTCCAGCTCAGACAGACATCAGCAACTGGGGCTGGAGAGATGGTTCAGAGGTTAAGAGCACTGGCTGTTCTTCCAGAAGTCCCAAGTTCAACTCCCAGCCACCACATGGTAGCTCACAACCACCTATAGTGAGATCTGGTGCCCTCTGCTGGCAGGCAGGTAAACTTGCAGGCAGAACTATATATACATATCTTTAAAAAAAAAAAAAAAGACATCATCAACTTTCCCATGCCCCTAGCCCAGAAATGTGCACCCCACACCTCCCATGCCATTGTCTTTCACACACCTTATCTCTGTAACATATGTCCTGGTGAACAGCCCACAGCTGTTACTGTGTTACCAGCAACATGGACAGACTGTTGCCTCAACAGCCCTGCCTTGAACACTCCTGGCCCTTCTGTCCCCACCCTGGACAGATGTCCAATGCAGTGTGGCCAACCGCAGTCGCTGCCAGGAGACTTCCTTCTTTTCTGTGGGACACTCTGTAGCTCAGGTAGGCTCAGAGCTGCTCTGTCCTGGCTCATGGGACAGACTCTCTAGCTCAGGTAGGCTCAGAGCTGCTCTGTCCTGGCTCATGGGACAGACTCTGTAGCTCAGGTAGGCTCAGAGCTGCTCTGTCCTGGCTCATGGGACAGACTCTCTAGCTCAGGTAGGCTCAGAGCTGCTCTGTCCTGACTCAGCTCTCCTCTCTCCACTCCCTCAGTGGTGCTGATCGGCGAGTCAGGCGTGGGCAAGACCAATCTGCTGTCCCGGTTCACGCGCAATGAGTTCAGCCACGACAGCCGCACCACCATCGGGGTTGAGTTCTCCACCCGCACCGTAATGCTGGGCACCGCTGCTGTCAAGGCTCAGATTTGGGACACAGCCGGCCTGGAGCGATACAGAGCCATCACCTCTGCGTGAGCCCAGGCCCGGGGGGGCGGTGTGAGGACCCGGGACCCCAGCGCTCTCCCTTGGACCAGAGATGTGGGAGGATGGGAGGCAGGAGATTCTGTTGTGTGTTTCCTGGGACAGGAATCATGAGAAGACAGTTCTGTGTAGGATGTAATGATTGCTAACACAAGTCATGGCCCCACTTACTAGATACAAAGTACTTTATACCTGGCATTTTGTGGAGCTCTTAAAGTATGACAGAAAGAAGTGAGGTGCTATAATCTAATCCATCCTTGTTCAGATAGGTGCGTGGAGCGAGAGCGCCCCCTGACTTCAACGCAGTGCTCTACTCTTGGCAACATGTCTAATCACAAGTGCCAAAATCTAGCTGGACTTCAGAGTACATTTTGTAGCCCTGGCTAGCCTGAGCTCACATGCAGACCTGGAACTCACTGTGTAGTTCTGGCAGTCTGGAACTTGCTATGTATACCAGACTGGCCTGGAACTCACAGAGATCTGCTGCCTCTGTCTCCTGAGTGCTGGGATTAAGGGAATGTTCCAACATTTCGGGTCACTATTTTTTAAAATTAGATTGGTTGGTTGATTGGTTGATTGATTGATGGATGCATGGATGGATAGATGTATGGACTGTATTCAGAATTGAATTTATGGCTTCCCATGCAATAGGCATATCCCTAGCTTGGAATATGTAGTTTATAAAGCCTCAGAAAGTTAGTTCTTCTGGCACTATATATTCAGGGTCTCGTGGTCAGTTTCTGAAATGTGGTCAATCTATCATGTATGGTGAAAGACAGAACCACAAGACAGAGACCGGTGGCAGGAAGGCAGGGTTTATTGTTATGTACACTAAAGGGCCACAGCCACCCACCATCTTAGCTACCTGACCTCTTATAAGACTTGGTTGACTTGTTAATAAACTAGGAACAAACCACGAATGGTGGTTCACACCTGTAATACCAGCTGAAGCAGGAGGATTGCCTTGAGTTTGAAGTCAGCCTGAGCTATGTATTGAGTTCTTGCTCAAAAGAAAACAAGGGGCCGGGCATTGGTGGTGCACGCCTTTAATCCCAGCACTCGGGAGGCAGAGGCAGGCGGATCTCTGTGAGTTCGAGGCCAGCCTGGTCTACAGAGCGAGTTCCAGGACAGCCTCCAAAGCCACAGAGAAACCCTGTCTCGAAAAACCAAAAAAAAAAAAAAAAAAAAAAAAAAAAAAGTGAAAGATCCAGGACTGCAGAGATGGTTCAGAGGTCCTGAGTTCAATTCCCAGCAACCACTTGGAGGTTCACTATCTATAGTGGGACCTGATGCCCTCTTCTGGTGTGCAGGCAGAATGCCGCATACATTAACTAAATTAATTAATGATTTTTTAAGTGGAAGATTCAGAGGCATGCCTGCATGTGGGCATTGGTGGTGAAGGGAGGTGAAGTTGTAAACTCTGAGACCAGCATCCCTGCAGCACAAGGGTCCTTTGAGTGTTCTGCAGGGGCTGGGATCCTTCCTGGTTGCCGGCACAATGTCAGGCATTTAGTTTGGTGACTATGCTCTGGGGCTGAGCCTGGCATCCCTGTCTAGTCCTGGTCCATCCCTCCTCTCACGCCCACACAGGTACTACCGCGGAGCAGTAGGGGCACTCCTGGTATTCGACCTGACAAAGCATCAGACCTATGCTGTTGTGGAGCGCTGGCTAAAGGAGCTCTATGACCACGCTGAAGCCACTATTGTTGTCATGCTCGTGGGGAACAAAAGTGACCTCAGTCAGGCCCGGGAGGTGCCTACGGAGGAGGCCTGCATGTTTGCTGGTGAGAGCCTGTTCCCACTCAGTCTGACTTCGAGATTGCTCACACACTTAGGGCCCTGAGTGGTCCTCATGTGGTTCACCGCTTCCAGCCCCTTTGGGAACCCATATGCCTCTGCCTACTCCCTGCCATGAGACTGCCTTCATTAGCAGTTGTTCAGAGCTGATTTTAAGACAGCCCCCATCCGGAAATACTCAGAGCCCCTTGTGGGTTCCTGGTGGCCACCTCCAGTCACTCCCTCCCCAGCTTTCTGGGTTCAGCAGTTCAATGTGGGGGACTAGAGCACAGCCTCCTCTTGGTCAGTGACTAGATGTAGGTCTGGGCTATGTATTGAGTTCTTGCATGTCCCTTCTTCGTTCTCTCTGCATTTCTAGGTTTGACTTTCCCAAGTGAACCTACCTGCCTTATAGATTGTATAAAGGATTAAATGAGCTACTATCTACCAAGGGTTTTGCATATATAAAAAAAGACATGGGAGCCGGGCGTTGGTGGCGCACGCCTTTAATCCCAGCACTCGGGAGGCAGAGGCAGGCGGATCTCTGTGAGTTCGAGACCAGCCTGGTCTACAGAGCGAGTTCCAGGACAGCCTCCAAAGCCACAGAGAAACCCTGTCTCGAAAAACAAAAAAAACAAAAAAACAAAAAACAAAAAAAAAAAACATGGGAAACATTAAATAAGTGTTATTATTGTTGCCATTGACCCACAACTAATAAGCACTTCTTTCCTGGCAGAAAACAATGGTCTGTTGTTCCTGGAGACCTCCGCTCTGGACTCCACCAATGTTGAGCTAGCCTTCCAGACTGTCCTCAAAGGTGAGAGCCTGCCCACACTGGGCACTCCATTTCAGGTGGGATACCCTGTCCTAGCTCTCACCCACCATAGGCTCCAGCCTCCTCAGAGACACTGGTCCCACCACTCCTCCTAGAGCTTACAGAAGCAACCAGAAAGCCTCATTTTTTTTAGGGGGCTGAATCTGGGTTCAGTCTTCCCAGGAAGGTAGACAAAACCCAGGTGTCAAAACTATTTCCTCCCGGCTGGGCGTTGGTGGCACACGCTTTTAATCCCAGCAGAGGCAGAGGTAGAGGTAGGCGGGTCTCTGTGAGTTCGAGGCCAGCCTGGTCTACAGAGTGAGTTTCAGGACAGGCTCCAAAACAATAGAGAGAAATCCTGTCTCTAAAAAACAAACAAACAAACAACCCCCAAAAAAAAACACAAAAAACTATTTCCTTCCAGCAAAAACTCTTTCCAGGGTGGCCATCTGTGCTCAGAAATGCCATGGTTCAGGGGTGGGACATTAAACTTCTGCCTGATTACTGCTCTTTGTCCTTAGAGATCTTTGCAAAGGTGTCCAAGCAAAGGCAGAATAGCACCCTGGCCAACGCCATCACCCTGGGCAGTGCTGAAGCTGGACAGGACTCTGGCCCTGGGGAGAAAAGGGCTTGCTGCATCAACCTCTGACGTCAGCCACGGTCAACCCTGTGCCCGTCTTCAGCCTTCGGCTGTCCCCCCTACCCTTGGGTCCCTGTTCACAAGCACCCAGGGGCACCACGCCCTACCACGTCTCTGTCATCTGCCACACCCCTCACAGGCTAGAGCCCTCAAATAAAGCTGTTTTGTATCATGCTTTGGCCTTCCTGCTGCCTTCCGTCTGTTCCTTGTCGGATTGTCTGTGCTGCCCTTCCAACTTTGACTCCTCCTGAGTCTGATTCCTTTCTCCATTCCTTTCTGTTATCCCCATCAGACTCACTGCCCCTCGGGGCCTGCTTTTGGAGTTCTGTGGTCTGGGGACAGTGCCAAGGGGGCAGGAATCGCTTACCCTTCCCTCTGCCAGCCCCTAGGGCAGGTGGGGGATGGAAGATTGTGTGGAGGGGAGGGCTATTTGGAAAGCAAAACAAAAGAAACCATCCTCCAGCACCATCTGGTACCCAAAGCTCTGGTGCCAAGAGCTGAGGTCACTCTAATGCCAGGGGCAAGAGGTGGCTGGGGACGATTCGGGAAGCAGGGCCAGCCTAGTACATGTACTCAGGAAGGATTCCTAAGACTCCATCTAGTACTTTCCTTATCCCTCAACAGGGAAGAACTGTGGTTGGTAGAGTAGGGAGAGGATTTTGTTTCTCAACTTTTCCAGGGAGCCAAGAAAAGGCCATCAGGGATGGCAGGGAACCCTGGAGACACCCACTTTCCAACCAGAGTACTACCACCCCCATTGCAATTGCTACCCCAAGATGCAACTGTCAAACAGTGAAAGACAGAGTCTTAAGTAATAATACTTTTAATAAAATTAACTTCTCAATAGCACATTTAATACATTAACCCTCCCCCTTCTTGGTTTCTCTGCATTGTGTGCAACATCACTTTGACTTGATTATTCATGGGTCTATTTATTTCCCACCTTTATTTTGCATTTGAAAAATCTTCCTTGGTGATTTGTACGAGTCACTAGATGCCTCAAATGAAGTCTGACCACGATCCTACTCTACTTTCTACAGTGGAGAGACCATCTTCCCTGCCCCGCCCCAGGGCTGTCTCCACCCGCCCACTCGGCCCCTCAAACAGTCACCCTCAGACAGGCAAGGGGAAATTCTCCCTTTTCCGGATGCTACCATCTCAAACTATTGAGGGTCCTAGGGCAAAATAGGGCAGGGGACCTCTAGTCTCTAGATGGGGTGAGAAGAGCAAATTGGGGAGGGGATGTTTGGGCTCTAGGGTCAAGAAGTGGCATGTCAATCACTGCTGGACTGTGTAAGCTATAGCCAAGAGGCCTCTCCCCATCCTTGGATTGCCAGTGAGGGCTGATGCAAGGCAAGTGCTTAAAAATGCCCATTTCTCACATGCAAAAGCCAGGCTTCCAGCTGTCTTCAGGGAAAGTGATGTGGCCAAGTGGGTGATCCCTATATGAACAGACAGAGGGGACTGGGACACAAGGGCTGCAATGGGGTCACCAAAGCTCCCTGCACACTTTTACCTCTGTACTTGGTGGGGTAGGTTCTCCCAGGCCAATATTTGCACTCTACTTCCTGAGTAGAAGTATTTCTTGGGATGCAACTTCCTCTGGGACTCCACAAAGCCAAATGATGGTTCACGCCTTGTAGTCCCAGCAGTTGGAGGCAGCAAGAAGATGGCTGCTTGTTTAAGGCCAGACTGAGCTAGAGACCCTGTGTCAAAAAATAAAAACAAAAACCCACTACACATGCGAAGGAGAGCAGCACTGGATCGAATTGCCGCTCTCCCTGCAACATGGGCACTGGACAATTCGAGCTGACGAGCACTGGCATGTTCACTGTTGAACCAACCTGTAGCAAGAGGGACTGAGGTGACTTCAAGGACTTCCTCTGTGGCCTGGGAGAAGCTGCCTTGGGTGGGGGTTGGGCATCAGGAGTAGGGGCTTCCCAGCAGATGGCCAGGCTCTGGGCCCAGTCCCACCCGGCTTAAGATGACCAGTGTGGACCCTGGCAAAGACCCTGGGACAGAGCCCCTTGTGTGCTGGTCTCACACTTAGAACCTAAGGATTCTCAGAATCGACCCCAGCAGACTGGAAGCTCCCAATCGTAGCTGGCAGACTGCTCTGGCCCTGTCGACGGGGCAGGGCAGCTCAGAGACTGGCCTCTATTCCCTTCCCATACTTTTATACATTCTACCGGGCTCAGGGGCCCACAATGCTACTAAACTTTAAGCTATCTGAGTATCATCTACTAAGTAACTAGTAATTCTTTCTTTCTTTCTCTAGGATTATATGAAATAAATTTGAATTATTTTGTAGTATTCTCTTCTTTTAAACCCCTCGGTTTTTCCTTTTTCTTTCTCTTCTCATTTTTTTTTCTTTTTGGTTAAAAAAATCTATTTCTCTTAAATCTCACACCTCTGAGGGTTTCCATAGGCCTGCTAGGCCTCAGTTCTGGCTTTCCCTCCTTACTTGCCCCTGGCACAGGGTAGGGGAAGGAGGGGACACCCCAGGACCCTCAGTCCTTAGTCCCAAAGCTTCTTCCTTTCTGGTTAATCCCTTTCTTTGTTTGGCTCTGCCGGCTCCCCTGAGGGGGAAGGGGAGGGGAGCCCAGGGAATGAAATCCAATCTACTGGTAGGGGCCCCAGAAGAGACCAACTCCCCCATCCCCTCTCCATTCATCCATCCCAGGATGCTCCCCCAAGAAAAGCAAATGACATTTCTCCCCAAAAAAAAGTGGGGGGGAAAAAGAACATAAACCCGAACATATATTAAAAACTTTTTTAAGATTTAACTCTGAATACAAATGTACTTTTTCTTCTCTCCCTACATATATTCTAAACCTTCTAAAGTTTTTTTTAAGGATCACTTTATCATAAAATAAAATATCCTTTTCATATAATAAATTACCTAATAAAAAGTCTTTTTTTCATATTAGCCCAGGTTCTTTGCTACATTTATACGGTAATAAATGCCTTTATTAAAATAGAATATTAAATTATAAAGAACTGCTTTTTTTTCTTTTTTGCTATTTTGTTTCCTCTCCTCTGTTGCTCACCCATCTCACGCCCTTGTCGCTGTCTCTTCTGTCGCTCACTTTTGCGTTTCTAGGAAAGGCTCACTCAGCAAGGGTGGGATTGAATCTGCGGAGCCCCTAGTGTAACAGTCTTTTGCCTTTGTGGGTAAGGAGTGGAGAGGGGGAGGGGATCGACAGACAGACACCCCTTCTTCCCACCCCCTCCCGTCCCCTGCCCCTGGGCAACCCAGGGTGCCCACTGATTTGGTTTCTATTGTACAGACATCTCAAGATGGCTCACATTGGTGGAAAGGAGGGAAGCTGCCACAGGCCAGTTTTCTGGGCTGTGACCTCCTTCGTCTCCTCTCCCAGGCTGGTGGTCGGGAGGGGAAGGCTGAGGAGAGACAAGTTAATTCACAACAGGCCAAGGAGAGAGGGGTCTTCCTCTGTGCCCTGTCCCACATCCTGTCTCCATCCAGGAAGAATGGGACTTCTGAGCTAGAGGAGCTCAAAGTAGTCCCACCCGACTATATACAAACAAGCATCTTCTGGGCCTCCCCATCCCCATCCTCTCTTGGCCCGGCCAGCGGAACCAAGAGGGTAGGAGGCTGCCGACAGACAGGAGTGAGCAATGGAAGCAGCAAAGGGGCCTATCACAACGCCTGATTCTCGTAATGGGCACTGCTGCACTTCAATCCTGCTTCCCCCTCACCAAAGATCTGGCCTCTCATCAGCCGGTGAGTAAGACAGAGACTTCATGATTTGTAGCTAATAAGGAATCAATAATTGTTCAGCTAGGTTGCAGAGAGGTCAGGGGGTAGGCCACTGCAGGTGAGGGGGAGGGGAGCCCTTCCAGCCACATCTCTCCTGTCCCAGGACCTTTCCTATTTTCCCTTCCCTTGGCTAGAAGACCCAGAAGAAATGCTCCCTAGGTGTAACGCCCATAGATGACAAAGGTGGGGCTTCAACCTTTTAAATACCCCACTATTAGCTTCCATCATGTGCCCCGCTGTTGCTGTCCCCTCTCGAACTGTCACCGGGTCTACGGCTGCACTCCATCAAGAATTAGAGCTGCTTCTTTGGAGGAGTAGGGGGTAGGGCTGTCCAGTACATGAAGAGGAGCCAGGGGCAATATCAACACGTTCTCCAGACTTCTCCCCAGGAGGATGGTATCCCCAAAGCTGGGCTAGAAGGTGCAGAAGGGGGAGGAATAAAGATGAGAGGGGCGGGGGACTGGGGAAATACAGGAAGAAGCTGGGGAAAAAAAAAACAAGCAAAAAGCTGGAGGGGAAAGAGAAGCCCTCTTTCTGGATCTCTCTAGCCCAGCTTTGTAAAACACGTGAGCCCTTTACTGATTGACATCTCCCCCACCCCAGGACATCTGCCTAGATCTTCGGTAGGCCCCCACCTTCCTATACTGTTGGGAACGCAGGGTATGAGTGGGGAGGGGGTAAAGAGTCTTGTTAGGAGGTGGGAGGTCAGGACCAGAGGGGCTGGGAGCCACTAAGAGCACCTCTAGTTACAGACGGCGGTTTCCACTCCTGTGTTCTCTCCCCCTCCTGGGGAAGGAGCAAGGTGACGCAGGATGGGAGAAGGGAAACACCAGGACATCCTGGTGGTGGCTTTAGGCTAAACAAAAGCTCTTAGCTGCTTCCAGATTTAAGGGTGTGTTGAGGTATCAGAGTTGTAACTCTAGTAAAACTTATGGTCTGGTCCCCTCCCAAAGGGTAACCAGAGGTTCTGAAAGTGGCTTCCCCCACAGCCACGCGTGCCTCCCTTCCCCACCCCAGCGAGTGAATATTTCTAAGCACCTTGCCCTGTAGTCACTGATTTTCCAAAAGGCCCTAAAGGTCCAGGGTGGCACCCTGGACAGCGGGCCCAGGAGACCAGGGACAAGATGCTTAGGAAAATATTCGGATGGCTTGTGTGGCGGTGATGTGGCAGACAGGACACTCTGGGTCCGTCCTCTCGCAGATGCGTACTGCACACTCCATGCAGAAAAGGTTGTGTCCACAGGGGACCAGGGCTGCGGTCACTTCGCTCTCAAAGCACACCATGCAGTCCCGCCCGCTGCCTGGGCTCCGCAGCCCTCCCGCCCCCAGTTTAGAGAAGCCCTGCAGTGGCTCTCCAGGTGACCGCCGAGGGAGCCCGGCCAGCTGCTCCTGCCCGGTTGAGGTGGCTGGAGAGCGGTGTGCCCCTGGCGGCCCTGCGCGAGCCTTGGCTGTAGATGAGGAAGAGGCAGAAAACAGCACCGAGGTGGGCGTGGTGTTCTCCTGGCCCGCCCACAGCGGGGGGCTTGTCTCCGCCACGCCGTAGTACACGTCCTGCTTGCCCACGCCGTAGCCCGGAAACAAATACCCGCCGTAGCCGAAGTCCCCGCCCTGCTCGCCTAGGCGCGGGGCCTCGAAGGCCGAGTCCACGCCGCACTCGCCGATGCAGCCCAGGCTGTTCTGCCGGAAGGTGGAGAGCGGTTTGCAGCCCGGAGCATGCACCCGCCAGGCATCTGAGTAGCGACTGTCCAGCGCAGCGTCGGGGCTGCCAGCCAGGAAGTCGCCGTCGCTGTTATATTCGAGGATCTTGCCGGTGCGCACTGCGATGTGCGTCTCGATCTCTTCCCGCGCACGCTCCACGTTGCCCGGGGCGCCAGTGATCTCAAACACCGGGTCGCGGTCCCGGCTGGGGGTGATGATGTATGTGTTGGTCTGCTGCTGGATGCGTTTGATGGTCGCTCCCTTGGGGCCCACCACCAGTCCCACCACGCGGTAGGGCACTCGCACACGGATGGTCACCTGGCCCGGCAGAGCAGGGGCCACACCAAAGGCAGCACCAGACTTGTTGCGTGAGGCTCTTATCATGGAGAAGTGCTCAGCTGCTGAGATGATTTCCCGCCGGGCTGTGGCGACATCTTCCCGCCTCCCGGTCACCATGAACACCGGCTCCTCACCTCGCACAGGTGTCTTGATGTAGGTGTTAGTCTTGGCTCTCAGAGCCTTAATCTTGCAGCCTGAACAGGGTGGGAAAGAAATCCACAGGACAAGGAGGTTTGTACTGGGATCTCCAGAATCCCAGCTTCCCAGGAACCCTTCAGTTGGTCCAGCGACACCCTCATAACCACACAGACAGCCCACCCCACGTGTCCAATGGAGTGATCATGCACTAGTCTCTCTTGTGTACACTTGGGGCCTTCCAAATACACTCCTCCAACGCCACCTCCTGCAGAACCTTTCAGAAAGCGGCAAACTATTCCCTAAGCACCCACCCTTCCGTTCCCTGTATCTCACCAACCCCTTGGCCACCGCTCCTAATCTTTGCTCAGAACTCCATGCACTCATTAACCCAGTCTACTCGTGTGACCTCCATTCATTAAAAGTGTCTGTGCTCTAGCTCACCCAGGGACACTGACCACCTGACCTCCCCAGCCTTCTGCCCCACAATCTCTCTGTGATTCTCCACACCATAAAGTTTGCAGCACCTGACTCAGTGCAGGACTTAGGAGAGGATGGGGGTGGGGGTGGAGGAATTTCAAGGGAGAGAAAAGTAGACGCCAGCCAGTGTCACAGAGACCTGTACTCTGCCCTGAGAACAGGGCTGAGATGCACTGGAGGCTGAGAAGAGAATTGGGCATGTCTTGGCTTTGAAGGAGTATCGAGTTAGCTGGGAGGCTGGGGAGAGAGACAAAGAGAAGGAGGGGAGGGTAGGAAGGCTGGCTACCTGTTGGCTGGGTGGACCTGCCTGCTTCACACAGCCTCAGACCTTTCATCCAAGCAGTGTGGTGCGGCGAGCAGAACGCCCCTTCACATGTCCGCGGGTCCTTCCTGTCTCAGTCTTCCCCAGCACAGACTATACTTTCATACACACCCAGGCCTTTGCCCCATTCTCACAAACTCCCTGGGATCCCCAGGCACACCATCTCCCCAGCACACGTCAAACCAAGGCCAAGTGTGCATTCTTCTCGACTGCAGGCTTCTGCCTGAGCTGGTTTTTCCTTTCTCCCCCAAACAGTGTCTTTCCTAACCATAATGCATTGAAGGGACACGGTGGGCTAGAGACATGTCTTTAAAGTACATTAGGAAGGCGAATCTGACGTCCTCCCCTTCTTTTCAGACCTGTTAGCAGTTAAGAAGTCCTACTTGTTGTCAACCCTACATCCTTGCTGCTTTAATGGCAGTAGATGAAGGCTCAACTTGTGAGGCTTGGAGGATCAAAGCGCAGTATGTTCTGCCACCTCAATTTACATGCCATCTGATGGGCACCTAGGCCCTGGCACTAGTTTTGGATCCAAAAACTTCAGTGGGAGCTAGGTGTCTTTGAGGGTTGGGGAGTTTGGGAGGACAAGCCCTGCTATAAGACTAAGTAGACAACCCAGAGGCCGGGCCGCATAGAAACCACACCTCATCCTCTTGGTTTCTGCAGCCCTGGAGCATCTCTAGAAGGGGAGGCCAGAGTCAGATAAACACTCGGGCTGAAGCAACGGGGGGAAGGTCAGACAAGAGAGGAGTTCCATGTACTTGCAGAATGGGGAAGGGAGGACACATGTTTTCCGAATAGGAGAATCCTACTTTTATGATGGATCGACACACTTGCTAAAGAGGCAGAAGAGTAAAGGGCCCCATTAAATTCTGGTGCCTTCCAAGACCTCACCCAAGTAGAGATATTAACATCCACACCCAATCCCAGGTTCTGGATCCCCAGTGTCCCTGACAAGGAAGGGAAATCCAACTTTCTAAGCCAGACACCCCAAGAGATTGAGAGAGGGGTCGCTGCGCAGGGGAGTGGCAAGCTCCCCTCCTCCCCTCAGCTCTCTATTCCAAACCCTCCAGCCCCAACCCTAGGGTGGATGAGTGGGATATGCAATAGGGGCCCCAGCCTGCCTCCACTCCACCGCCAGGAACCGGCCTCCTCCTCTACTCCCGCGGAATGCAGCCCCTCCATTGTTCCCCACTGTGGGACAGCTCCTCCCCCACTCCACCTCTCAGCCCAGCCCCTCTGCAAAATCCAAATCCCGCCCCCCCCAAGCCGGGAGGGGAAGGGTCCCCAAGATCCAGGCTGCTCAATTTGGGTACTTACCAACACTCCCACCCATCCAGGGATGCTGGGCTGAGGAGGGTGTGGTAACATACTCCATTGGCTTAATCCAACACCCCTCCCAGCACACCCAGACGCGCACCCACCACCAAAATTTTCAAGTGGAGGTTTCTCTGCTTCTTCACCGACATGCCCCTCCTGCCCTGTCCCACGCGTTCACTCAGAGACTCCTCTTCAGACCCCTGGCTCCAGGCCGTGGCCAGCCCAGAACAAAAGCAAGACGGAGAAGGAGAGGCCCACGCCAAGGCTGGTACCTCCTCAGAGACACCCTCCCCAAACACAAGGGCCCACACAAGTGCCTGCAGGCGACCACAGGACCCCTCTCAGCCAAGGGCTCCCTCATCACCTCTCCCTTGACCGGGACCCTCCCCTGGGCCACACCCCCTTTCATTCCTACACTCAGCCCAACAAAGAGACAGATCTCCAGTCCGGCTTCATAGACCGAGTCTCCCTCAGAGTCCCCAACTCCAAGCGCAGAAGGTCCCAGGAGTGCCCCCTCCCCAGCCTACAAGCAGATACCAGAGTAGGCACTTCTAAGTAACTGCACATTCCGTCAGTCCTTCCAGCCCGGAGCCGACACCCCCTCCGCACAGACCCCGGGATTGGGAGGCAGCTCCCCCTCCCCTTTCCTCTCCCAGTTCCAGGATATTTCTTTGTCTACGGGCGGAGCCCCAGGGGAGGAAGGGTCCCGAGAGCCGTCCCGACTCGGGGTAACAGGGAACTTTGTGGCACTTGGAATCTGGGCAGGGGGCGGGGCCCCCTTTGTCGGGAAGGGACACAGCCAGAGGCGGGCAGAGAGGGAAGCGATGAACTTTCAGCGCCGGGGACGGCAAGCCCCCACTCCAACCCTCGCGGTGTCCGGACGGCCGCTTACCTTGCCTGCCCACGATCTCGGCCACGTGCTCGGAGGTGGGCACGGGAACGCACTCCGTGGTGTTGCTGCTGCCCTTCAGGCGCAGCTCGGCCTCTTTGTAGAGCGCGCAGAGCTTGGCGTCGTTCGCCCCTTTGGGGGCGGTGGGGGGGCTGGGGCGTCTGCGCCGCGGGGGCCGCGCTCGGGGCGGCCGGGGCCGCCGCGGGCGGCGGCGGCGGGGCCGGCTGCGGGGGGGCGGCCGGCTGCGCGGGGGCGCCGCCCCCCCCACCTCCCCCGTCTTCGCCCGCCGTGGGGGCGGGGGGCTCCCCCAAACCCAGGAGGCAGAGTTGATCGAGAGCCAGCTGAAGGGCGCGCTCGTCTTCCAGCAGCCCTCGGTCCTTAGCGCTTCCCCCGAAACATCCTAGTTCTCCAAAGCCCCCATTTCTTTCCATTATTCCAGATACCACTAGACTAGGCATGGCGAAACAAAAGCTGGGGGAGAGAGAGAGGGAGAGAGAGGTGGTGGAAGGGAGAAGAGGAGAGAGGAGGGGAGGGGAGAGGAGAGGAGGGGGTGTGTGGGGAGGGGGAACAAAGAGCTGGGGAGGGGGGAAGAAAGCGAGATAGAAAGATAGACCCACCCCTAAGCCCCCCTCCCCAAGCACCCTGTAACCTGACTCCCCTCGCCCCAGCCCCCGGGTGGGGGTGGGGGGAAAAGAAGCAAAACCAAGAAAGCAGATCTCCTCTCGCTCCGGGGTGACGGGGTGGGGTGGGGGGCTGCGGGCCCTGGCCCCCACCCCTCCGCCTCGGACCCGGAGTCTCTACCCTCCGCCGAGCAGACGCCCCCTTAGGCTCCCGCACCGAGCCCCAGTCCCGGAGCGTCGCTCAGTGGCCCCCAATAGAGCCCAGCCCCTTCCAGCGCTCAAACTCTTTTGTTTTAAATGAACTGGATGGAGCAGCATGGAACTGACGGGAGGGGGGGCGCGCCGGGGGCGCCCGGGGCATGCCGGGAGTTGTAGTTTCCCGCCCTCGGGCGCGGGGACGAATTCGGGCAAGAAGGGGATGCGCCCCTCGGGCTCTGCCTACCGCTCGCGAGCAAAGCCTCGGGTGGGCTGGGAGTCGTGGTCCGGGAATCTTTCAGGAACGGGCGGTATGCGGGAAGGGAGCTGGCGTGGAAAGACGTCGCTCCCCGGCCCCGCGGGTCCCGGGCCTTTTTCTTATGGTAATGAGGGCCGGGGCGGAGCGGCCGCGTGGCTGCGGTGTCCTCCCTCCTCCCCGCGCGCGATCGCGGAGTCCTCAGGCTCAGGCCTCCGGGAGAGCGCTCGCGGAGCAGACAAAGCCCGCGGCGGCTACGGTGGGAGGAGCAGGTCTCCGGGCTGCGCGGGGGCCCAGGAAGGGGCGTTGGGGTGGGGGAGGGACCCCTGGTAAAGGATGTGGTCCCCTCATCTCTTAAGTAACCATCCCCTCCTCCAGCCCCCCAGTTCCGGGATCTCAGACGCCGCGGCTTAGGAGGTGAGTTAGTTCGCGCCCCCGTGGTCCGTGCAGTGACCCGGCGAGGAAGAGGAGGCGCGGACCTAGAGGATACGGGTGCGGGGCTGAGCAGGGAGGCCGGAAGGGTCCTGAAGACTTCTGTGACTTAGCTTGGGCCTTGAACTCTGGATGAAATAGGAGTGAGATTGGGAACCCAGATTTCCTTCATTCCTGAGCCACGAGTACGGTGGTCATTTGTCCCTTAGGACTGTCATTCCGCTGTTTCACTCGCCTCCTACTTTTATTAGCCAGCAATTTGGCCCCTTTGACCCTAGAAGTATGTTGAGAGAGATCAGAAATAACTTTTTAAGACTTGACAGAATTGAAAGGGAGCTGCATTGTTCTGCAGTCTTCTTCGGCTCGACCCCGGATCTCCAGCACTTTTGTTCAAGAGAACGGAGGGGACCGCGTCTAGAGGTCTTGAGGTCGGACTCTAAGAGCCACCTTCCCAAAACTGCTAGCAGTAAGTGGGTATGCATCTGTGTGTAGGATGTCTTTTTCTTTTTTTCTGGAGTGCCTTTGGAAACAGAAATCTGAACTAGTCATGAGGTAAAGTTTTGCATAAAGATAGGGCAGTGAATTGAGGTATCCTCAGAGACAGGGCACGGTGAGCCAGGAGGGCTGAGTTTAGGCCCACCCCCCTAAACTGGTTCTTGGAAAGAGTGAGTTCGCCCGTAGGTGTGAGTGTGGGTGGGAGGGTCTGAGGGTTCCCCTTTCAATGAAGGAGGATTTTGGACTGAGGATCATGGGAGCTGAGCAGGGAAGGGGATGCCCGTGCGTGGAGGACTGAGCAGATTGTGAGCACGTTTTATGGGATTGGATGCTCTCCAGCTCGAGTGGGAGAGGAAGGAGCACAGAGTGTCCCTGCTCTGTCCCAGGAACGGGGGCTAGTGCTGGGGGACATGGGAATCTCTTTAGGGGACCCTACTGGGGACCAGGTGATGGTGGGGCCACCAGCTGTCTTGAGCTTCCCTGGCCTCACTGAAACAAGATCCCCCCCAGAGTTTGCCCAGTCTCTGCTTTCCCCTCCACTAAACCAATTAAGGCAGGAGGTTAATGACCAAAACAGCCTTGGGGATTTGGTCAAAACAAAGGGCGGAATCTCCAGTGGGGAGAGGGACAGCTGAGGGCGGGGTGGGCAGGGTGGCACCCTACTGGAGCCCCCATGCAGCAGGGATGCCGTCCTCGGTGTCTTAGCACCCCACACACACTGACGGTCACTCTGTGACCCCAGACATCTCCAAGGCAGAGGGGAGCACATATAGCCTAGCACTGGGAGGGCAAGGCGTGTGGAGGACTCAGGGGTACTCACAGGAACAGGTGTCTGCAGAGTGGACAGGTGCAGAGGAGCTGAGGGGCAGAGGAACCACCCTTGCTGCAGCCTCCTTCGTTCAGGCTGATGCCGCCCAGCCTGGGTGCTGCGCGTGGGCCCTGCTGAGCCGCCCTTCCCTGGTGCCCATCCACATCTAGGGCTTTGAGGGTAGAGGCCTAACTTAGGCCACTCCCTCTCCTCTGCCCGGAGGCAGAAGGGTGTAGAAGGTGTACATTGGTCCCCTTTGGGACTCTGAGGATATCTGTGTCTCTCCTCTCTGTCTGTCTGTCTGTCTCCACCTCTGCGTACACACCTCTAATCCTGTCTCTCTCCTCCTCTCCTGCCCTCATCTACTCTTCCAACTCCTGTTTTCATGCTAAGGAACCAAAGCGCCTTGTTGAGTTGTTGGACTGGCTGAGAGCATCAGATACTTATGTGTACACTTGTGTGTATGCGTGCATGCGTGGGTGTGCATGCGTGGGTGTGCATGCGTGGGTACAGGGCAGGAAAGGTGACCCAGTGGCGTGAGATCCCTATGGAGGCCTGAGGACAGGAGTGTGGTAGAAAGTGCATACGGTTAGACCCGTTTTCCTAACTACTCGGGCAGTCTTGACTGTGTACACACCTAATATCTGAGCCCTGGGCAGGGAGGGAGACACGGGAGGCTGTCACCAAGCCTCGCCAAGCAGGTAGCCTCAGTTTATTCCCCTGCCTGTGTCCCCCTCCTCCTCACAGGCTGCCTGTCACTCCAGCCGCCCTCCCAGGCCTTGTGGGTTTCCTTTTTTTTTTTTTTTTATTGTACCCACTTATGTGTTGTGGTGCACATGTGCGGCTGCACACGCATGAAGACCAGGGAACACCTTGTGGGGACGGGTTCTGTCTCCCTCACCATGGAGTCCCAGGGATTGAACTCAGGTTGTCAGGTTTGGCAGCAAGTCCTTTTGTCCTCTGGGCCTCTCGATGATCTGTTTTGTTTTGTTTTTCCAGATAGGGTTTCTCTGTGTAGCCTTGGCTGTCCTGGAACTTAATCCGTAGACCTGGCTGGCTTTGAACTCACTGAGATCCTGAGATCTGCCTGCCTCTGTCTTTCTGTTGGAATTAAGGGAGTGAGCTGGACTTGATGGCCTTTTTTTTTTTTTTTTTTTTTTTTTTTTGCGCAACAAGGTATACTGTAACCAGGCTGGCCTTAAATTCACATAGCTGAGATTGGCCTTGAACTCCGGTCTCCACCTCCTAAGTACTGACTGCTACTACATGTCTACCTTACCACACCTGGCCTACTTTCTTTTCTTTTTTTCTATCTTCTTTTCTTTTTTTGTTTTTTGCTTGTTGTTTGTTTGTTTGTTTTTCGAGACAGGGTTTCTCTGTGGCTTTGGAGGCTGTCCTGGAACTCGCTCTTGTAGACCAGGCTGGTTTCAAACTCACAGAGATCCACCTGCCTCTGCCTCCCGAGTGTTGGGATTAAAGGCGTGGGCCACCAACGCCCGGCTCTATTTTCCTTTCTGAATACCTCTTGTTGGAAATACTTCTGGACGTCTAGCCTCTGCCTTTCTTGCTGAATGTGCAGCTAGTTTTCTCCCTTAGGCTGGAATGCACTCGATGTGTTAATTTCTTTAGAACAGGTTTTCAGTGTTTACGTTTTGTGTGTATGGGAGTGTATGCGCACACGCTCGCCACAGCACACATGCGGGAGACCAAGGACTGCTTGAGGAAGGTCTAGGGGTTAAACCCAGGTGCTGAGACTTGGTGGTGAGCTGCTCTACCCTCGAGTCTTCTTGTCCACCCTCAACTTATTTCAGCTCGTGAGAATATATTGGGTAAAATTCTCCATGCTGTGTAAGTGATCTCAGACTCGATCCCTGCTCTCATGGAAACATAGGAACCGGCTTACATGACCAAAGAGGATAAATGTGAGGGCAGGAGCATCTTTGGGGCTTGAAGAGCCACCAAAATTGTCAGGAAGGGCAGGCCACTGGCGTCTTGTCTCTCTGCCTGATCTCCAAGCCCTTCGCAGCCCCCATGCTTGGATCTGAACAGACAACATCTCCTGTACTGTCTGACTCCCCCAGGGGCTGGGGTGGAGCCAGGGTCCCCCAGGACAGCTGGCTAGCAAGGCCCCTCTGGGACTGCAGTCTGGGCCCCAGCATTCAGGAGGCAGTGACACTGGAGCTGTGACAGTTGGCGCTTAGATTCCCCACCCAGTGGCGCCAGCTCTGGTTTCGGGCTGGGTGAGGGAGGGGATTAGTTGCCCTCCTGGGACAGGGAGGCGGTAAACATGTCTCCCTGTGAGAACTTTTCCTCCCTGGGGCTGGTGGAGTGCTAGGTTAGACGTGAGGAGGGGTTTTGGCCAGGGTGATTTGCAGGGTGAATGTGTAGTTAGAATATTATGTAGGAGGTCAGGGCGGGAGTGCAAGGGATGTGAAGAGTCTGACCCTTATCCTCATTTGCAGAGGACACGCAGCCCAGCCTGGGTTCTCTGACTCTCTTCTCCCCTATACTGTTGATTCCTTTTCAGTAAGGGGTGTGAGGAAGGACCTTCCATTTCCTGAAGCTTCTCTTCTTGGAGTCTTCAGTCTTTGTGTTTACTCTTGTATTGCTATTGTATTACATATATTTAATGTGTGCATGTACCGTATTTATCCTGAATGTGGAAGTCAGAGTGGCTCTCCATTGGGAAGGTCCTAGGGATTGAATGAACTCAAGGCCTTAGGCTTGGCAACAAGCAACCTTATCTGTTGGGCCATCCCAGCTGACCTTTGGTATCTTCATAGTTCCATGGAAATGTAATTTCTATCTGTGCCTGACATAAAGAGCTGAGGTTCAGAGATGCTAAGTAACTTTCCCAGGTCACATATCTGGTAACTGTTCAAAATTAAAGTTGTCTGACTCCAGCCCTGGGCTCCCAGAGGTATACGGTGGCGTTCAGTGCTTGGAGACCTCAGAGAGAGTGACATTTAAAACTGGAGCAGTCTGGGGAGGCTTTCTGGCTAAGGTGGGTCTATTGGAATCACTAAAGAAGAAGGAGTGAGGGCCACTGGGAGGGAGAGAACTCGGGGAGCATTTCTGGAGATTTTGTAAGAGGTGGCCAGTGAGGCTCGCTACTTTCACCCGTTCTGAGAAGCATTGAGTATGTGTGACCACCAGGTGGCACTGTAGGACAGTTGCCTCTGCCTACCACTGGTCAGGTGGGCCAGGGCCAGGTGCTTC